TTCGGTATCATATTGAACATAAATATTGCACCATTCGGAATGAAAAATAGCCGTATTTTATTTTTGTACCAATTTCTGGGATATGAACCAGACTACTGGGGAAATATTAGATTGCCAAAGCATATTGGACCTCCTTCAGTATTTGAGCAGTTTTATCAAACACTTTGTATAACATATTAGAGCGAGCTTTATTTGCAAGCTATTTCGTTTTCTTGCATTATCTGATCTACAAAATGATAAAAAGGTCAGGATGACATCAACCGTAAGTACGTAAAGCAAAGCTCCTATTTATATTTTTATTATTTCAGGCGTAAAACTAACCTTTTTCGTCAATTGCCTATTCTGGCATCATTTCCAAGTCAAAAATCGGAGAACAGTTTTAAGCAGATTTCAGAATGGTAACAAATGTGAACCAAGATGCCTTCCGTTCTCTTTCTATATAAATGTTTTTTCACAGACAAATAATGTTCCTTTTACCAATATCGCAATATTGCACGTCAAATCACGTACTAGATTTAGTCCTGTACAAAAAATAATATTTTTGTTTTCGTTTAGAAGTTTTTTAATGTACCATTTTATCATATGTAGTAAAATGTGTTTTATTCTATGTCAGAATGGCTGGCTGAAATTGATAAGAAATATCTGTGATCTCAGTAAGAGGAAGAATTAAGACACAAAATAAATTTGCGTATGCTACGGAAAGGGTTATACTTCATCCCAAGACTTGTAAAGCGAAAGGTAATGTTTTAGCCATTTTTTAAAAAGTTCTCTTTGAAAAGACTGACACCCGTTGATAAACATTGTTTGGACATGTTGTTTTCATATCTAAGTACAGCTACGGCCACACCATGTATATATCTTTTATGAAATTGCCATAATAATTTTTATAGAGCTTGATAAATCAAATCACAATTTCAAGTATAATGAACATGTAGTTATGAAGTCATAAAGCTAATTGATACGCACAAAACGTGACGTCAACATGTTATGCTTATTAAAATAAAAATGCTTTTATCAGAGCATTCTTAATATCATTACCCATAGCTTGGAACTTTTGTTTTATAAACCTGATAGTACTGTAACTTAATTGCATTACATATGACTCTCTGTATATGAAAAGGCCCAAAATAACCAGGATACGCCAATACGGAACGAAACTGGACGCCTTATGGAATAAAAAGTAGAAAATAGTTAACATATTCATGATTTTACAAAACAATAGCCATCAATCACAGTAAAATCACAGGAAACAAAATATTCAAAAAGTCGGAAATAAAAATGCTTATCGATAATTATTTTAAATGATTTACATTAACATCGTAAAAACAATACCGGCAATAAAAATTGATTGTTGTCCATAAGGCACTGATGAGCTCATTGATTAATTGATAGCTAACATATACATGACTTTATGTAAAATTTCGGTTATATTTGAAGATTATATTCAATATCTATCAAACAACTGTCAAATGACTGTATGGCAAACTCGTCAGATACTTGACTCGTCTGGTATTGTGTTCATCATGCTTTCATTTTTAATAAATGTTCCTTTTTTTTAAATCTTAAAAAAAAAAAAAAAAAAAAAAAAAAAAAATCCTGCCAAGGACCTCTCATGGTTATGTCGCGCGCAATAATACATGCGTTTACAGCCAATGGCCACATCGATAAGAAACATTCTCGAATGTTTTTATTCAATTGAAAGAGAGGCATAATTGTTAAATCATTATTCTCGATAGATATTTTCAATCCATAGAACAAGGTTTAAATATCCCGTTTTCTTCCTCTCATTACAAAGGTATTGGTGAGCTCTTCGATAAAGTTAGGGTGACTGATCATCTTAATTTGTCAGATATGCAGTTTATCATCAGAACATAATGGTATATTTAAAAACAAAAGGTGTTTAGTCTTTAAAAGGAAACGAAGTTCTATCCAATTTACGAAAGACGGTTGCCTTGGGTATGCTAAAAGGATGAAAACATTAACTTTCATCAACGAGTGTCACTGTGTTAAAAACCTAAATTTGTCAAAATTGCTTCAGGTTCTTATAGTATACAGTCCGACCGTTGTTACTGTATTTGCAAGTTCATTGGTTCTCTGATTTTTTCTTTATCTAATGTTTTTCATGAACAGTCTCAGTCAAACTTCGCCTGCAACATTTCAATTTTGCCGTTTTAAACGTTTTGTAAGGATTTTGTTTTTCTCTTTTTTTTCGTTTTTATGATTGTTTTATGACAGTAATAAATTGTTCATAATTATAATCATGAAAGAACAATGATTAAAGAGCGAATAAATTTCTTTACAAATACAGACAGCGATTTTACAATTATCAGAATCAATTATAATGCAGCAAGTTAAAATCATTTGTGCATGAGTTTTTTTAAAAGAGATATTCAGGCAAAATAATGACAAAATGTTAAAATGATCTTATGTACTCAAATCACAAATCAAGTTTCAGTATGAATTTTTGTTTAAATTCTATATATTTTGGGTTTTAAGCGTAATTATATCTATATATGTTGAACAAAATTTTGACGCCAATAGAATCATCGAATAATTTTAAAACAAGTAAGATGACTTGAACAAACCCTTGAAGTTACAATAACAGATATTGTGGATATTGTATGATTGAAAAAAGTCTAAGACATTCATTTGGCATGTTCTTTAGCGTTTTAAGAGTTCACTGTGACAACAACCGGTATTGTAAAATCCTAGCGCTCTAACCTGACCCACGCGGATCAAGTTAGGAATTCACTTTTTTATTCTTTATATTGAGAAAAGTTTTGTTCCTTTGACCGTCTAATATATTCATTTTGAGGGCATTTAAAAAATTATTTTGAGGGCATTGACAAAATAATGAATGAAGAATTAAAAACTAAGAAATGAAAAATTTTGCCTGTGTCTCCCTTTTATATACATATACATCGTGTAGTAAATAAAAATGTTTGTCATGGTAATTTTGATAATAGAAAGAGAATGAAAGATAATATGTTGCTTTGCAGCTCATTCTGAAATCTGCTTGAAGCTATTATCCGAATTTTTTGATATAGAACTGGAATTGACAATTGACGAAAATGGTTAGATTCACACCTTTAATGATAAAGATATTTAAAACAAAATAAGAAGGAGCTTTGCATTCCGCACTCACGGTTGATGCTTTCCTTTCCTTTTAATCATTTAGTGAATCAGATAATGCAAGAAAAACGAAATAGCTTGCAACTGAAGTCCGCTCCTATACAATCAACTTCTTAGGTTATACAAGGTGTTTGATATACTGAAAGAGAGTTCTAATATTCTGTGGCAAGCTTATATTTCTCACCATTGATTGTTTGATATCCCAAAGAATTGGTATAGAAATTAAATACTTATGGCTATTTTCTTTTTCGAATCGAGCATTGTCTTGGAAATGATACAAAAAAGGCGTAAAGGTCACGCACGGATGATCTCGTACCATTTGTACAAACTAAAAGATCCTAAAAAGTTAAACCAATTTATATCTATCAAAATAAAACATGTTATCTATATATAGTCGTATATGCTTTCTCAACGTAAATGTCAGATATGATACTGGAGAATGCAATATCATCTAATATGATTAGATATTCAGTTAAATAAAATATATCACGAGTAAAGCTTTACATGTATTAAATGAAATGTTGCGTAACATATATACATATAAATGGTGACCATAATCCTATGGTCGATTCTCGAATGTATTGCAGTCTAACATAAATTCTCTTTCTAATCAAACCCACACGAATATTGTACGTAAACGGGATTAAATATTCCACATCGGAACAAAACAAATCGCTAATTTCAGTAGGAATTTAATTTTGTGCATTTGTGAACAACGTTTAAACTTTAAATAAATCCGGCAAATGAATTAGTAATTAAATAAATAAATTCATTCATTTGTGGAAGAACTTCAGATCTCCAGATGAATTTCAATTGATTGTTTGAAGAAAATACGAAACAGAACGTTTTAGTTTTTCATTAGGTAAATTTCATTTGCTCGAAAATTGTGACGTCAATAATCAAGTAATTTTTTGATGCCAATTATAAAAATTAAATCGAAATAATCATTAACATTTAACCTTTTCTTCCAATATTTGTTACCAGGAGCTCTCATTGAAAGTTTAATTAGATGTACTATTATTAATTTGCCTCTATAAGATAGTAATGAATATTTGTGAATTTTGGAGACATTCAATAAGAGATTTTTCAGCATTAGCATGTATTATGTAGTATTTTATAAAAAAATTTCAAAACTTATTTACATCCACACAAGCAATAGAACAAAACAATGATATAGCTTGTTTACTTAAGTGTTTGTCTTCTTCAGCCAGGAAGGTTTTCAAAAATCCAAGTCTAAGTTTCTTCAAAGTCTAAAAATTTGTAGAAGCTATTTGTATAACATACAAAACACTACTTTAATTGCTGCAATCCTAAAACAATAGATATGTTCAGATTGGCAACGGGAATGCACATCGATGTATGTGTATTGGAAACAGTACTCTAAGTTAAGAAAATTGCAAAGAAATAATAATCGTTTCATTTAGAAAGAATGTTAAAATCCATCTTTTGGCATGTATATTTACAATCCCAATCAGTTGACGTTCAACACAATACTAGCCCATCACTTATGTACAGCAGAAATTTGGCATAACATTAAGAAATAACACGTTTCAAAAAGGGGATACACAAAGAAAGAAAAATAATATGTCGGACCAAAGTTTCCTTTTACGTTTTACATGTGTCAGAATAATAACATTATCATACCGAAATTGACAGGAATTATCATGACATGCGGGTGCACCTGGGGTGAACTCTACAGAAAATATTCTTGGTCTTTATACAGAAAGATCTTCGATGTCACTGTAGGTCATAATATTCACACATTAATATATCGTCGCTATGGTAAGAAATAAAGAATATGTCTAAAAAGCGGTTTTTGCTAGAAATGTGTGTTTACATACCGATGATGGTATACACAGAATAACACTATGGAGGGCGATCGTTGCCAAAATTCCAGACATGTAATGTGTTCCTTTTGGAAACTACTTCTGTAAATGCGAACGTGTATGTCTAGCATTTTTGACAGTATCTGTCCCTTGTATTTGTGTTTTTGACAAACTGAAATTGATCTCTGTCATTATGAAAATAAACTTCTTGCATTTACTTGTTTTTAATTGTATGTTGGAAGTCTGATCAAGTAACTCATGTTTTTCCTGTTATTAGGATTTTGTAAACATTGAAACGTAAATATCGATTTTAATTTATTGACATGCGCACAACTGCACATGAGTTTTACATGTGTTTAATTTCCAAAATTACGTGAAAAAAATACACTTTCCTTTTTACCAATGTTCATCTACATTTTAATTTTGAATGGCTCGTTTACGTCCCCGTAAGTACCGATATATTTAACATAGTTCAGACATGCGTGATATAGGACAACACAAAGCGATCAACAAGTACGGCTTTTCCTAGATAGGTGTTTTTCATTGATGCATGACGCTCCGCCCACTAAGCTACGATCGCAATCGGGAATTTCCGGATTTTTGGAGTATCAAGCTCCTGTTGATACAGATTTGATGTCATCTAACTTCGCGATGGACGAAATACGAGCATTGTTGATAGAAAAAATAAAAGCCGTGGTCAGGTCTTGCGACATGGAAAATGATATATGCGATATTACTGTTGAGATAGAGTCATTGCGTAACATTTTGTCATACATTCCATCTAATGGCGATGTATTTCAGCGAGTCGATATCATACTAAAGGAAACCTTAGCAGTTCTTAACGACATTGTATGCACACCCGTTGTGTCAGGTTACCGTGGAAGACCTCGGATAATAATACCAGAAGATTTGATAGAATTTCTGATAGACAGTGGTTTTTCTCAAAATGATATATCTTCCCTTATTGGAGTGAGCATAAGAACGCTAAACCGGCGATTGTCAGAAATGGGAATTACATTTGCAAGCAAGTTTTCAACAATGAGTGATGAAGAATTGGATGGTATTGTGTTTGGAATAGTTAAAGAGTTTCCAGATGTAGGGTATAGAACAGTGGGCAGTCATTTGAAAAGTATAGGTCACCAGGTACAAAGGTGCCGTTTACGAGAGTCTATTTATAGGGTAGATTTTGAAGGGGTTCTTCAAAGGCGCACAAATTTGAGACCAATTCTGCGAAGACAGTATTCAGTTAGAGCTCCCTTGAGCCTTTGGCACATGGATGGCTATCATAAACTTATCAGGTAAATAATAGAATTTTTGAAATTTAACAACCTTAAAAGTACTTTTTCGGGTTTGTGCTGAACAATAAGTTATAGAAAGTGGCCTAGCTAAGCCTTACGGGCAAACACCTCTAGACATATATGTTCCAGTCATGCGAGTCTCATATAAGGGGTTAACATTGGAAATAAGCACACCAGCTAATTATAAATATATATGTATATCTTATTGTCATCATAATTATGTAACTGTGATTTATGTTGTTGCAAAAATAAAATAATAAAAAATAATAGTCTATTCACACTATATAGGCAAGTTGTACAGCATTTATGATAGTCAATATCAGAATACATAATGAAATTGTGAACTCATGTTTTGAGTATTGTTATTTTATTGAAATACTTAAAACTTGATCAGTGTAAGCCATTTGTACCAGATGTTGATAAGAAAGCATTTAAAAATCATCATTTCCATTAAAGAAATATATGTGACGTCTCTGCTGTATATAACCCTCAAAAATTTATCAATAAGGCCCTATTTTTGTATGTATAATGACATGTTTTTTCTTGTATCAGCTGGAAACTGGTTATTCATGGAGCTATTGATGGCTATTCTCGTCTCCCAGTTTTCTTGAATGTCAGTAATAATAATCAAGCTGGAACTGTGATGACACACTTCCTAAAAGCCACTTTCATCTACGGACTTCCCGGTGATTGTTTTTCATTAATTAGTAGTTTCAAACATGACAGAGGTAACCAGTAAACCTTCCTAAATTAATTAATGAAAGAAAAAATGTGAAAGCATCATGTGTGTTGAAATTCAAAATCATTCTTCCTATGAACTGAAAAATTGGATTACCACAAATCTTGTACAACACATATTTTTATACATTTTCTTTATATCAACATGTCTATTTTTTTCTTAGAGCGTGTACGTTCTGACAAGGGTGGAGAGAACGTGTTAGTTGCCAAGTTCATGCTTGACAGACGTGGCATAGGTAGCTTCTTGACTGGCAGAAGTGTTCATAATCAAAGGTATCATATTTCATTGAATGTTGGTAACATTTGTTGAACCTTGTATCAGATAATTATTTTTTGACAGGTTATACAGCTTTATATAAACGGTTGTTTGTATAATCCAAGCTGTTATGCAAGGGTTATATTGCAAACAACTGTTTCAAGCATCCATATAACATATCAACAATCTCTTGGATAGATTTTGTGAAGCATACATCAGAAAACCTATTAGAACTGCAAATAACAGGAGTCCACTTCAGCTTTGGATTTCAGTTAATAATACAGCAAACATCGTATAAAAATTGTCGATAAGTTGACAGCAGCCATGAACATAAAAGGTTATTTAAACGTCTTGATTAATCACTAAAAATGATGTTCCAAACTTGCAGTAATCTTAAATTTGTGGTATATGTATATTGAATTATTACCCAGTTTGTGCCACCTGATTTTTTTAACAGGACTTCAATTTGTAATACAAATTTGATAGCAGTCTTGTATTTTAAACAATAGTTGTTTTTTTTCTTAAGTAAAACACACCTACAGATAGGTTCTTAAAGTTGTCATCAAGGATGTTCTAAACAAAATTCAATTCTTGAACACAGCTACATTCTTCCATTGCCATAATTATAGTTTTTGAAAAATTAATAATTTTCTTCAGAATTGAGCGCCTGTGGAGAGATGTTTGGGATGGCTGTGTATCACTGTTCTACAGAATATTTTGCTTGCTAGTGTTTCGGGGTATGCTGCAATCTGGAAATGACATACATCTAATGGCTTTGCACTATGTGTTTTTGCCACGTATTCAGAACCATTTGGATAGATTTTGTGAAGCATACATCAGAAAACCTATTAGAACTGCAAATAACAGGAGTCCACTTCAGCTTTGGATTTCAGGTCAGATGCTTGACCCAAGGCCTTATTCTGATGAGGTATTACATTATGATGTACATATTTCAGAAAATGATTATTCTGGTATTTTCCCGAATTATTGTAAAGGTTCAAACACTTTATTTAAGTATGAAGAAGTGATAACTGTGTTACTGCTTCAGAAATGTAGCTTGGAAACTCAGAAATAGCACTGTCAATACTGATGCAATTATTTCATTAACGACATGATAACACATATATGAAAGTATTTCTGTAACCAAAACTAAACATACATGTATATGAAAGTATTCCTGTTAGCTACAAAGAAGAGTATAATTTGGGTAAAAATTTACCTTAGCTTATATGCATAATAAAAAAATAATAAGTATTATTGATAATTATACATTTATTTTAGATTATCAATTTAGTTGTTTTCATGATCAGGTCAGTTTTTGGTTTATCCAGGTAGTTCTTTGATTTTGCAAAGTACATGCCTATGTCAGATAACACATGGTATTGTGTAAGTGACCTGTATATTGCTTATTCTTTACTGTGTGAATGTAAACAGTTGATTGACTGTAAACATTTATCTTTTCATTTGAAGGTGGACAATGCCATGTATGCAGGAAGTACTGCCGAGCATCTAGATGTAGAAGCAGTTGAAGTGGAACCTCTTCCAGACATTGCATCCTATTTACAGAACCAAGTTCATCCTATGGATGAAAGTGATTCTTATGGAATGGACTTGTTCCTAAAAGCACGTGACATGCTCATTAATATAATACAGTAACATAAGGCTCTCTGGCAACCAGTCATTACATTCTTAGCAGTACAAGATTATTGGATTAAGCTTAAGTAGTGTGCCTATATTTCTTATAAAGGGATATACATAAATTATGTAAATTTATGTGCTATATAAGGCATTTTTAGCTGTACCATCCTAGTCAATTGAGCATCATTGTCGAGATCGCTGCATAAAGTTTGCATACTACTTCAAATATTTTCAAAGTTCATTAACATATTGCTTTTAAACTTTGCACCATTGTTCACCATCATGCCCCCAACTTTGAACGGGAGGAGGCAACTTTAAATTAGGCAAATGAAGTGGGGACATTATTGTCCTTTGCACATCCTTTTGGATATTTCCTGTTCCCAACTACCAGTTAATGACATTGCAGATTTTCTGTGAACAACATTCACCTCAGCTTACATTTGACAAGAATGGCAGCTGATGTCCGGTTTACTTTGATCCATTTTTATATTTTACTACCAGTAGTTTGTTAATATTTTTGTTTATTACATGCTTATAAATGATATTTTGAGAAATATTGATGAAATAAAATGCGTATTTTTATTTTCAGTATTTTCACTGTAAAAATTTATTTTTCACATTTTCACTGGTGTCTTGCCGGACTACTTTCTTCTAAATTCAGCTTATAAACAAAATTAAAAGGGAATTCTTCCTTATTTATAGGTTTAAAAGGAAAAAAAGTACGTAATAAACAGAAAATTCAAGTTTTTTCAATAAATAGAAGATTTATTTTCATCTTGTGGTATGAAAATTATCATATTTCACTCGTGGCTACTGCCATTCGTGAAATATTTATTTTCATACCACTCGATAAAAATAAATCATGTATTTATAGAAGAAACTTGAATATCCTCTATATATATATATATGACTGTTAAGTTCAATGCTACAGAATTATCCTGAAAGCCACTGTATTTTGGAAAGCATATATAAACTAACCTGTATCTTTCAAAATAAGATATAAGCTATATCTGTTCAAGTAATTTACCATTCCTACAAAACAATGGGTCTGTTTATTTATATTTAGGTTAAAATGCACTTTTTAAAGAATAAGCTTTTAAAGACCAGAGATCTACATATAATCTATGGTCAATTTAACTGAATGCAATTCATTTTAATGGATTGATCATACTTGTTATTAATGTCTTGAACAGATACGTTCTTCTTAGACAACTTCAGATACCCTTGCTCTTTCTTCAAATAATTTTGGCTGGTGTCTAATTTTCAAATATTGCCCCCATTGTTCGATCTTTTGGGAGTCAAAATTTATTGAATTTTCTTGTGTTTACTGCCAAAAACACTGTACATATTTATACTGGGTTGATATAATTTTGCCAAACCTACTTTTTATCCCCCGCCGATGGAATCTGGAGAGGGATATTGTTTTGGCGTTGTCTGTCTGTTCGTCCTTCCGTCTGTCCTTCGGAATTTCGTTTCCGATTCGTTCTCTGCAACTACTGGCTGTTATTCAACAAGCTTTATAGGAATCATCAATATCATGAGGCGATGCGTATATCGTCACCTTGTTCCGGTCAGACACTCAGAGTTATGGCCCTTGATTAGTTATGCAGTATATACATTTGTAGAACAATATTCGTTTCCGCGCTACTTCTCTGCAACTACTGGCTGGAATTCAACAAAACTTTATGGGAACCTTCAATACCAAGAAAGTATGTGCATATCGTCAGCTTGTTCCGGTCAGACACTTAAACTCAGAGTTTTGGCCCTTGATTAGTTGTGCAGTATGCATATAGAACAATATTTGTTTCAACGCTACTTCTCTGCAACTACTGGCTTGAATTCAATGAAACTTTATGGGAATCATCAATATCTAGAGGAGATGCCCATATAGTTGGCTTGTTCTGGTCAGACACTTTAACTCAAGAGTTGTGGCACTTGATATTAGTTATGCAGTAGAGCGAACTTTATTGGAACCTTCAATACAAAGTGGAGATGCGCATATCGCCTTCTTCCTGTCAGACATTTTAACTCATAGTAATGGCCCTTGATAAGTCATGCAGTATGCATATAGTGTAATAATTGTTTCCGTGCGAGTTCTCTACAACTACTGGCTGGAATTCAATTAAACTTTATAGGAACCATTAATACCAAGAGAAAGTTACTATTTAACACACAAGTTATGGCACTGTTATTGCCCTGAATATTTATCAAGTACAAGAATATTACTGTTTATACCGTGATAAATATATGAATAAAGCCTTAAGTCTTCAGTTGTTGTATTAGTAATAACCAGTACTCAGCAGGGGATATAAATTAAACAAATTTGCTTGTTTTAATTGTGTTCATTAATTTTTTGCACTATTGTAGTTTAAAAAAAATTAACCTACATATTATATGTACCTCAATTCCAATTTTGTATTTTGTTAATAAAGAATTGTTTACATTTAAGCCTTATTATGGCTTCATTGTGCTTGACTGTATGGTTGTAGGATAACAGAATAAATTATGGCAGAATATTTTGGTATTTGTTCTAAAAAGTATGTACTTGCAGACCTTTACAACTATGTTATGTCTTATCTAAAATGTCTTTTATGATTCATTCCTAACGGGTCCTGTACTAATGTCCATAGAGCATCAGGCAGCGAGTTAGATCCAATGGCCGGTAACTTGTGGCAGTTTAGTCTGAAAGGATTTCATTGTCATTTGTTCCCTACCTTGCAGATAGTAAGACATTTGTTACAGTTAGTTATACTTGGCACTGGAGAACCTTTGATCAGTGTCTGATCTGACAGCCTACCAATATTTCTATATACCTTTGACAAATATTGATGAGGGATAAAAACAACCGTCTTTAATATGAATTCATGACTTTAATAATATAATTCTCTGCATATTCTATTGTGAAGAATTCTATTTTAACATTTATATGGCTTCTAAGTCCAACACAGTTAAAACAAATACATCTCAAAGGTGTCTGTGAAAACACATGTAAATGTCAAACAACAAATGTTACAGATCATGAATGGATACTGATTATGGTTAATAGAGAACATATTTTACCACAGATTCTTAGTAAAGGTTTCTTTCCTATTAATTGACAGTTACTAGCATGTTTCCTAAACAGGTTAAACATGTAAAAATTTGATTATCACTTTCAGTTCTATTTTTTCATATTGCTTTACGACTAGGCGCCTAATACTTATTAAAAACTCATCTTTATGACACAAAGAACTTCCAGAATGTCAATATTAAGTCAACAAAATTTAAGTCTACATGTATCAGCACTTTATTTTAGCATCAAGCGACACATCCACTTCATCTAAAATGTAGTAACTAGTAAGGCTACCTAGTAAAATATCATCCACTCAAACATAAGTTTTAAGAAATATTCAAAACTTAATTGATATTTGAGAAATGAGCATTCTTACATTTAATATTCTTTTTTGTGGTTAACAGTACCTAGTAAATAGAAGATCATCATTAAGAACACTGATTAGTATTTGCCAGACATTTTGCCAATGTTTCAATGCGTCAAGAATATAAATTTTGTGTAGATGAATACTAAATAAGAAATCTTATTTCTTCTAAATACTCATTCTCTTCCAAATCCATATGATCCAATAATAATATTTTTCATTAATTCTTCAAATGAATCATAGTTTACAATCTCTGATATTCTGCTGAAATTGATGGATGGTGCACAGGTGTTGACAGTTGTGAAATTTTTACTTTTGTGGTCAAATGACATGATGCCTTCTCCAAAGCCTCTCGGAAGGTATCTGCACCCTATGAGTGCCTGCAACATGTTGCTCATAGTCAATTCAATAACTTCTGACGACCCATTTTCAACATCTATCCATGTACTTGAAATCTGGCCACCTATAAAAATGTTTTGCTTCATTTATAATTAAAAGCAATGTATTTATCTTGTTAGCTAATTGAAAAGTTGTAAGTTTTAATGAAAGATCTTTACAAAAGAGTCTAAAAAATTGATTTTCATAATAAGATAACAGCAAAAAGCTTTAAACAAGAGCTGGCTCAGGAGACAGCGAAGCTCGACTAATTAAATACTGGATGCAGTAAGGAAGACAAAAATATAAAAGAAAAATATAAATATATTTCTTGTTAAGACAAGAAGTTAATGATGTTAAAATAAATTAAATTTTGGAAATAGTCATGGACTTTCTCACACATATGAAGTTGATCCCTCAAGTAATAAAGTTACAGTAAAAAATAATATCTCTTAAGGAAAATTTTAAGTGCAAAGTGAGATAAATATGAAGATAGTGTTGCAAGAGTTATAAATCTTTTTTTTTACATAAGATGTGGTTGATGATAAGGAACATATATTTGAAGTTGATACCTTAAGAAATGAACAAGAGCTGTCACCCACGTGATGAATGCCCCCGAAAAGGTTTCTTAAGCATGCAGGTATTATGAAAAGAAAAGAGAATGAAAGGAACTAATTGCTGAATATTGTTGTATTATTGTTCCTGTAATCTCTAAATGTGATAGCATGAGCCTTTAAAATATAAGTGTGACCTTGACCTTTGAAGAATGGAAATGGTAACTGGAGCAACAGAATGTTGTTATGAGATAGACATTTGTGCCAAAGTATTTCAAAATCCCTCAATGCATGACAAAGTTACAGCTCAGACACAATTGTGTATATCTAATTACGATAATGTGAAACTTCAAAATGATAGTGACATTGACCTTTGAGGTAGGGACGTGGTTCTTGGACGCGACACATCATCTTGATGCGGTAGACAAGTTATTTCAAAATCCCTCAATGTATGACAAAGTTACAGTCCAAATACATATTTTACTGCACCAAAACTTTAATCTGAAATCTGGACGCTGACGCCAACACCAGGGCGAGTAGGACAGCTCTCCATATATTTCGTATAGTCAAGCTAAAAATTATAGCTTCACAGCGTATTTCATATTTTTAGGTAAAATATCCTGTGAATCAAAACAAGAGATGTATACATTTTGAACATAATTGGCTTATTTGAACAAAATGATACACTTTTAATCAACATTACATACGTTCTAGCTTTTTGAGAAATTGGTGGAAGTTGAAAACCACAACTTCTTCTGCTTCCTTCTCTCGTCCCTCTGTAGAATACACTGGCTTGAAAAACTCCTTGATAACTGAAGCATCCTCATTTAGTGTCTTGACCAGGAAGGTTGTTCCCGCTGAAGTAAACTTCTGCATCATGGAAAGCATTCCATGAAGACGAAGACCTTTAAAGTTCAAAACAGGACAGGTGCTTAAAACAATGTTCAATAAAGTAATTAACCATCCTACACATCACAGAAGTTTGCTATACACCCAAGTTAAATTGACATAGTTTGTTCTTAACTTTAGTTATCAACCAGAAACTAATTTTCTAAATTAAGTTATAGGCTCTAAAGGAGCAAAAATATGCAGGCATTCTGGCATCAAACAAAATGGTTTCTGGTCAATAACAATGTAATGTTTAAATGAAGTAGAACAAGATATGTTTGTAAAACATGTATGCCCCCTATCGGCAGCCAATTTGCCATGTGATCAGGTTATTATGCAAGACTTCTGACCCAGTGAACAAGCAATTAATAAGTGTTATCTAGTATCTACTGGTCATGACTAGTCACAAGATAATAATTATTGTGACCCAATAGGTTGTGTGCAGCAATTAAAGTTATTAAAAATCTTACCAAATAATATATACATAAATTTTATGAATCACATAGGCCTCATTAATGACAGCCAAGTTGTTATATTACATAAGACCTTCAAATGTGTATACCAAAAGCACATAAAAATATCAACCAAGGCAACTTGGCTCCTTGCCATTGGTTCTTGTTGCTGGGTCATGTGGGGGTTGCGTTCATTGAACGCCGCCTTTCCTTGTTGATCTTGTTTTTCATATTTTTTGAGTTGTTGAGTTATTGGTCAGAAACGGTCATTAAGTACAAGGTCACTATGACATTGACCCCTTGACCCCAAAATCAATAGGGGTCATCTACTGGTCATGACCAATCATCAAACCAAGTTTGAAGTTCCTAGGCCTAAGGGTTCTTAAGTTATTGATCGGAAACCGTTTTTACCTACAAGGTCAATGTGACCTTGACCTTTGACCCCAAAATCAATAGGGGTCATCTACTGGTCATGACCAATCACCATACCAAGTTTGAAGTTCCTAGGCCTAAGGGTTCTTTAGTTATCACTCGGAAACCATTTGGTCTACGGACCGACGGACGGGACGGACCAACAAGTGCAAAGCAATATACCCCCTCTTCTTCGAAGTGGGGGCATAATTATTAAAAAAACAATGGGCAATAATTAGGTAAAAATATATAGAATAACTAAACCTCGATAATATGCACCTGGGCACATGATAGCAATGCTCCAGTGAAAGTTGCTCAAAATGCCTTGAGAAATGTAGGAGTTGCTCACATAATTCATTGCTTACGCCCGCCTGGCAACATACCCCTTAGTTATATCCAGTTGTTTCCTAGAAAACATGGTTGTAAACTTACCATTTAGAACATTTGTTTTGTATACATCATTAAGGTAAACAAACAGATCAATTCTGCTCATTTGTAAGCTTTGATCACCAAAGTGGTCGGCCAAATTTATGTACGGTACCAGTCCATATCCTTACTGAAGAAAGCACTGAACTTACCTTCCATAAACTGAAGAGTACAAGGAAAGAATCTGTTGAAAAGGTAATAACTTTTAATAGCTGACACAGCATCTAGTCTATTTTCCTTAGTCAAGAGTTTCCTAAATCCACACACTTCTAGCAGGTCACTGTACTTTTCAATAATGTTTTCATCCACAGAGTCTGAAATCTAATAATAGCACTGTATGTGAGTAAACAGAATAGCAGCATATGTTGCAATTGGAAAAAAGATTAATTTAGTGTTTTAATAAATAATTTGATACTGGTATTAAATATACAAGAGCCATGTCAACATGGCCATCCCCCGCCGAATGTGTTTGCTCATTGGAAGAATGTATATGTAGTAGAACAGAATAATTTCATTTTAAGAGGTCTTTTGGTAATGAAAACTGATGGCTATAGTGATTACAGATTTGAAACCTATGTGAATACTGATGGCTGAAAATAACAAAGGGCAATAACTGAAAAATAATGCAGGGTAGGTTATCATTCTTGTGTGCTGCATCCCTCCTCAGTAAAATCTATCCACCTATGAAGTTTCAAGTTGATACCTCAAATACTTTTTGAGAAAAAAAAATTGAATTGAAATATAAAGTATGAAAAATAAAAAAGGGCAATAACTCAAAAATTATAAAAGGTAGAGTTATCATTCTTGTGCAGTGCACACCTCCTGAGTGAGATCTATGCACCTATGAAGTTTCATTTTGATATCTCAAAGGCTTTTTGAGTTATGCTCTGGACAAAAATTAATTTTAAAAAATAACAAAGGGCAATATATCAAAAATATTGCAGGGTAGAGTTATCATTCTTAAGCACTGCACTTCTCCTCAATGAGATCCATCCACCTTTGAAGTTTCAAGTTAATACCTTAAATACTTTTTGAGATAAGCTCTGGACAAAATAGCATGAAAAAAAAACAAAGGGCAATAACTCAAAAATTGTATAGGGAAGAGTTATCATTCTTGCGCACAACATTCCTCCTCAATAAGATCTATCCACCTATGACATTTCATGTTGATATCTCAAACACTTTTTGAGTTATGCTCCACTCAGGTGAAAAATTAGCTATGAAAAATAACAAAGGGCAATAACTCAAAAATTATGAAAGGTAGAGTTATCATTCATGTGCACTGCACACCTCCTGAGTGAGATCTATGCACCTATGAAGTTTCATGTTAATATCTCATAGGCTTTTGGAGTTATGCTCTGGACAAAAATCAATTTTGAAAAATAACAAAGGGCAATAACTCAAAAATCATGCAAGGTAGAGTTATCATTCTTGTGCACTGCACTCCTCCTCAATGAGATCTATCCACTTATGAAGTTTCAAGTTGATAACTCAAATACTTTTAGAGATATGCTCGGGACAAAAATGTCGGACGGAAGGACGGACGGACGGAAGGTCGGACGGACGGACGGACGGAGACTATTTCTATATCCTCCGCCGAAAATTTTCGGCGGGGGATAAAAATGCGTAGATTACATAAAATTATTCATGTATAGTGTAATTTTGTAATGACCACTGCCTCTTAAACGTATTCAAATGTCTGTTGATGTCCCCAAACTGAGTACCTAATAATTACCTCTTTCATAGCACAAAGTGCATCAGCCCGTTCAATTTGATCATCTGGTATGTCAGAGGTGTTGACTTTTCCATAGATGATGTAATCCACAACATGTTTTTGCAGGTTTCTTGGCCCAGGATGCCCGCTAAGGATGCCCATTACAACCATCCTTCCCATGTAATAATACTGCTTTTTCTCAAGAAGAGAAGAGTCAAAGCTAAATAAATTATCCTCAAAGACTGGAGATTGTTCAAATAATATAGAAAAAAACTCTCTGGACAACCCTCCAGCATCAACACCGTCTTCTCCAACAAATGTAATGGCCAGTTTTCTTGACCATTCTTCCTCTGGAGCCTGTTCCATTTCTGCCATTGCTTGCTGGACAAGCAGTCTTCTCAAAACAGAAATGTCCCAACATTTGTCTGAATTTAGTGCTTTTGATGAGACAAACTCTTCAAATGTTCTGGAATAAATGGTTTAAGACATAGAGGAACAAGTTAAAGCTACTTTCCCACACACATTATTTTTTTTTTGTTAAATAAAATGTCATCAAAAATAGAATTTCATCACATTCTTGTGCATCTATATGGAACTACTGTGTAGATGATAAATACATGTCTTGTCAACAAGTAAAGTACATTTTGCATGTGCATGTTTAATCCTATTGTATTTTTAAAGGTTGCAAAGTTATTTTGTAAATATTGAATTAAATTATACACACAACTGTTAACTAAATGTAAGTAGAGAACCAATTGTGTGCAAGGTATGTTTTTTTTTTTTTCATTTCTGCAATCCATTGCTGCACAATATATTATAGAAAATTATGCAGTGTCTACTGTATAAGGGGGATGGGGGATTCACCCATATTTTTGACAATTCACCCCTACTTTTTCAGTGGTAGGGGGGGGTAATTTTTACATAGAGAAAGAAGGAAAGGATCAACCTGAGCAACATTCTTAAGTGCCATCGGTCACTGAATTATGCCATTGGATGAATGATTGAATGAATAAATAGAGTGAACATTACTCCACACCTTACTATTATTTGCTATAAAACCATACAATTCGTATGATTTTGATCTTATTAGAAAAGAACGAAACAGAATATTTACTAAAGTTTGATGAAGTTTCTTTAATTATTTTACAAAGTTCCTTTGATAATGATAATTAGTGATATGTTATATTTTATTTAAATATAATACAATACTTACTTGAACATATCTTTCTCTGCAACATGGTCATCCGACTGGCAGCACAAATCAGCATGCTCTGGTAATAAGTCTACAACAACCTTCTTGCTACAGATTGGGCACATGCCATTCTCTTTCCTGCAACATATTTGTAATAAGTCTTGTAAATCAAGTCTATCATAAGGATCTTGTAATCTTTTGGCAGGAATCAACCAACCATGATTACATGTAGAAATACAAAAGTACTAAAAAATTTCAGGAACAGTTTGTTTTCTGTTTTAAATAAAAAAAAACCATATAAATTCAATCTTTGAAAAAGTCTTTGTAAAAGTCCTCAATCAATATGCTAATTTATTTTCAGCAGTATTTGAGTTATTGACCAGAAAAAATGTATTTCAGGCAAATGGAAGAAAAATTCTAAGGCAGACATAGCTGGGCAAAATGCTTTCTTTTTATAAACATGAACCTTAACAGAAGTCTTCAAAATTAGCAATTGACAATAGGTGTCATCTGCTCATTGAGGATTGAGTCAGTGACCATTAACCAGACACTTTTTGTACATTTTTCTATACAGATATCACAATTTTAAAGGTAGATACTTGGAAATTTAACAAAGTAAATCTAGGTTCTTAGCTAGTGTTAATTTCCGATATTGTATACTCTTGTATTTGAAGCCTCTGCTGATGGCAGTGATGGGTACCAAAGTTTGTCCTTACTACAGTACCATGTGTTTGGACCAATATTTATAAGTTTACTCTAATTCAAATAAATGGCTTTATTTTAGTTTTTTTTTAGTTTTAACATGAAATACAGTATTCTAGCAGCCTTTACTGAAATTTTAATTATTCATTGGTTAATTCTGAAAATGATCAAAGCTAGTAAAAGGGGTCAAGTATTTCCCATTTGACGTCAGAATTTTCAACATCAATGTTTTTGTAATAACACAAAACTATTAACATTTCAGAAAGATAAAATCAAGTTAATTAATTTATCTTAGAAGAAACACACATTAATTGATGATATTAGAATTGCTAATTGATCAACAACCATTGAACAAAGAAAATAACTAAATAAAGTGTTTTTTGGTGCTGTCCAGGTTTGATTGTTGTCCGGTTTTGGTTGTCTCAAAACAGTAGAAACTAGATCAATCAGATGTAGAAATGCTTAAAAGGCTAATACATAAACAGAACACTAACAAAACAGAAATATTCAGGAATATAAAAATAAACAGTAATGGAAAGTTAAGGTATTGGAACTGCAAAAGTCTTACCATGCCTTTTCTCCAACATTTAAACATAAGACCTGCCAGTAAGACAGCATGCTTGACTATTGTTAATACTTGATAGACTTTTAGTGGGGAAAAAAGGTCCTAGTTATGTCCTCATGCCTGGAAGAGGGGATGATGGTCACTTACATGCATTTAAAATTTCAAAGCCAATTTTGACCCAAGGGCTTTTATTTGAAAAAAAAAACTTTGTAGACACCTTTAAGAAAATTTTTCATGCCTTATATCTAAGCTCTAGCTCTTTGGGTTGTTTTAAAAGAAGATTTTTGAGGTTTTTACTATTTCACATATAAGAAAAATCAATAACCAGATTTGGCAAGGCAACTTTTGACCCCATTGCTTTTGTTTGAACTAACTTGGTTACACACATAATATTTTGATGCTTAATATCTAGGGTTTTTTAAAAGAAGATTTTTTAAGATTCTACTATGTAAATAGCGTAAGGAATATCAATGACCTCTACAGGCAGGGCAACTTTTGACCCCAGTGCTTTTATTTGAACAACCTTGGTATACACCCATTAGAGGATGATTTAACAAAACAACAAAGGCTGTTTAAAATTTTTAAAAAAAAATCTATTTTTGGCACTGGTGACCTTGACCAAAATGACCCTAACTCAATCCAAGGACCTTTCAAAAATGAAAAATATCAGTCAAAATAAAGTCTGTTTTAGAAAATGTGTAGAAATCTAGTATTGGGCCTTCTTGACCTCTGACCCCTAACTCCATCAAAAGGAAAAACATGCAAGTTATCTTCCAACCAAATAAGAAGAACATCTGTCAACAAGAGCATTATATGCAGACAAACAGACAATTCAATTACCATATGCCGGGGGGGGGGGGCATTAAAAATACAATTTTTAACCTTAGTTAAATGGGGGATTATTCTTGGAAAAAAATGTGTGCTAGAGTTATGAAACTTGTCACATATCTTGTGGATAATATGGAACATATATTTTGGAGTTTAAAATAGATACCTTAAGAAATACTGGAGGTATAGTAAAAAATAAAAAAATTTAGGAAGAATTCTTAGTACAGGGGCAGATTATTCTTGAAATATTGGTGCTAGAGTTTATAAACCTTTTTCACATAAGATGTGGTTGGTGATAAGGAACATATTTTTTAAGTTTGACGTTGATACCATAAGAAACAAGAGCCATGTCAACATGGCCATCCCCCGCCGAATGTGTTTGCTCATTGGAAGAATGTGTATGTAGTAGAGCAGAATAATTCCATTTTAAGAGGTCTTTTGGTAATGAAAACTGATGGCTATAGTGATTACAGATTTTAAACCTATGTGAATACTGATGGCTGAAAATAACAAAGGGCAATAACTGAAAAATAATGCAGGGTAGGTTATCATTCTTGTGTGCTGCATCCCTCCTCAGTAAAATCTATCCACCTATGAAGTTTCAAGTTGATACCTCAAATACTTTTTGAGAAAAAAATTGAATTGAAAAATTAAGTATGAAAAATAACAAAGGGCAATAACTCAAAAATAATAAAAGGTACAGTTATCATTCTTATGCAGTGCACACCTCCTGAGTGAGATCTATGCACCTATGAAGTTTCATTTTGATATCTCAAAGGCTTTTTGAGTTATGCTCTGGACAAAAATTAATTTTGAAAAATAACAAAGGGCAATAACTCAAAAATAATGTAGGGTAGAGTTATCATTCTTTATCACTGCACTCCTCCTCAATGAGATCCATCCACCTATGAAGTTTCAAGTTGATACCTCAAATATTTTTGAGATAAGCTCTGGACAAAATAGCATGAAAAAAACAACAAAGGGCAATAACTCAAAAATTGTATAGGGAAGAGTTATCATTCTTGCGCACAACATTCCTCCTCAATAAGATCTATCCTTCTATGACATTTCATGTTGATATCTCAAACACTTTTTGAGTTATGCTCCACTCAGGTGAAAAATTAGGTATGAAAAATAACAAAGGGCAATAACTCAAAAATTATGAAAGGAAGAGTTATCATTCTTGTGCACTGCACACCTCCTGAGTGAGATCTATGCACCTATGAAGTTTCATGTTAATATCTCATAGGCTTTTGGAGTTATGCTCTGGACAAAAATCAATTTTGAAAAATAACAAAGGGCAATAACTCAAAAATCATGCAAGGTAGAGTTATTATTCTTGTGCACTGCACTCCTCCTTAATGAGGTCTATCCACCTATGAAGTTTCAAGTTGATAACTCAAATACTTTTAGAGATATGCTCCGGACAAAAATTTCGGACGGAAGGACGGACGGACGGAAGGTCGGACGGACGGAGACTATTTCTATATCCTCCGCCGAAAATTTTTGGCGGGGGATAATAAAGAAGAGTAAAAATTAAATATTTTTAAAGGAACATTCTGAGTTCAAAGGGAGAGAATTATGAAAATATTGCTTCCAGGGTTATGAACCTTATTACATAAGATGAGGTTGATGATAAGGTTAAGGATGAATAAAATATAAAAACTATATTTCACTGCACAAAAACTTTAATCTGAAATTTTGATATGGATGCCAAAGCCAGTGCAAGGACAACTCTCCATAGAATTCATATAGTCAAGCTAAAAAGGTATATTTTTTTAAAGATAATAAGGTGTAAAAGAAACTTTCTACAAGTAAAAATGCTTGTTCAAATTACACTTCCAATACCTTCATAGAAATATTTTGAAGCATAAGAATCAAACAGAAATTTAACAAAAACTGAAATAATGATTTTAATTACTCATCAGCTGTATTGTCTGCCTTTGGATTCACCTGTTTATGAAATGTTGCAAAGTCTAAACAAAATAGCCAGGCATTTTATGACAATATAAAATAGCTCTTGAAAGATATCTTCTTATATATCAAAATGAAGTCTTAACAGTGTGTCATAGATAAACCATTTCTTTTAATGATTTTTGTTTTTCTGTAAATTAACTATGATAATGTGACCTTTCAGTATGCCTTGACCTCGAGATGTCAGGTCACATGCAGACAGGGCATATGATCATGGTATAGTATAATTTACCTAAACCCAAAAATTGTCAACACCAATGCATATCTGTTTTAACCAACAGCTCCTCAAACAATAGCTCAATATTTGCTAAGCATGAAAATGTTGAATAACTATCAGGAAGACTATCAGGAGACTAGTCTCTAATTGCAATTGAGGAAGATTTCATATAGATAGATATAAATTGCTAACCAGTGACTGTGGTTAACAAAAAAAACAATACTTACACATACAAAATCACATATGGGCCTATCTTTTCTGGGTCCCTTTGCCTTTTCCTCCAATTCTTCAGAGCCCTGAAAATAACCCTTTTTTTATTTTTCACTTTTATACAATATCCTCAACAACACTGCAACATAATGAAACACGAACAGAAAATATCAAAATTCAAAATTACGGATCATGTATATCAAAAATTAAAAGCGGATGCAAAAATACAGGAGACAGTAAAGCTCTACAAATAAAATATTGGACGCAGTAAGAAAGACAAAACTATGAAAGAAAAGTCAATTATGCATAATTATGTATTAAGTTATAGTATAAAAATAACATTGTTAACATAAATTCGAAGATCAAGGGGAATAATTCTAAAAATAGTCATGCTAGAGTTATGAACCTTGTTACACAACATGTGTGAAATGATAAGAAATATATATTTGAAGTTTGAAGTAGATACCTGACAAAGTAAACAAGAGGGCAATGATGGCCCTGAGGTCGCTCACCTGTATATAGCCCCCCCCCGGGCCAATTTTTACCGCTAACCCAAGGGCTTTTATTTGTTTTTTTTGAACAGACTTGGTAGACACCCATAAGAAGATGTTTCATGCCAAATATCTAAGCTCTAGCTCTTACGGTTCTTTAAAAGATTTTTAAGTCTTTACTATATGCATATAGGGAAAATCAATGACCCCCTGGGGCGGGGTCAATTTTGACCCCAGGGCTTTTATTTGAACAAACTTGGTAGACACTCACTAGAAGATGTTTCATGCCAAATATCTTAGCTCTAGCTCTTTGGGTTCTTTAAAAGAAGATTTTTTAAGTTTTTACTATATGCATATAGGGAAAATCTATGACCCCCTGGGGCAGGGCCAATTTTGACCTCAGGGCTTTTATTTGAACAAACTTGGTAGACACTCATTAGAAGATGTTTCATGCTTAATATCTTAGCTCTAGCTCTTTGGGTTCTTTAAAAGAAGATTTTTTAAGTTTTTACTATATGCATATAGGGGAAATCAATGGCCCCCTGGGGCGGGGCCAATTTTGACCCTAGGGCTTTTATTTGAACAAACTTGGTAGACATTCACTAGAAGATGTTTGATGCTAAACATCTAAGCTCTAGCTCTTACAGTTCTTTAAAAGAAGACTTTTTAAGTTTTTACTATATGCATATAGGGAAAATCAATGACCCCCTGGGGCGGGGCCAATTTTGACCCCAGGGCTTTTTTTTGAACAATCTTTGTAGACACTCACTAGAAGTTGTTTCATGCCAAATATCTAAGCTCTAGCTCTTACAATTCTTTAAAAGAAGATATTTAAAGATTTTTCTTTCGGTTGCCATGGCAACCAGAGTTCTGCATGGAATTAAATTCTTTGAACAATTTTTAAAGGTGACCACCAAAGGAACATTCCTGTGAAGTTTGGATGAAATTGGCTCAGTGGTTTATGAGGAGATGTCATTTAAAGCAAAAGTTTACGGACGGACGGACAACGGACGAAAAGCGATCGCATAAGCTCACCCTGTCACTTTGTGACAGGTGAGCTAAAAAGTTACAATATTTCTTAAAGAAAATCCTAAGTTCAAAAAGAGATAAATCTGGAGATATTGCTTCAAGAGTTATGAACCTTATCACATAAAATGTAATGATGATAAGGAATAAGTATTTAAAATTTGAGGTAGATTAAAACTTAAACAGTTATAGTAAAAAAAAAAAATTAAGTAAAAAATATCTAAGTTTATGGGGAGATAATTCTTGCAATATTGGTGCCAGGGTTATGAACCTTAGCACATAACATGTGGTTATGATAAGGTACATATATTTGAAGTATGAAGTTGATCCCTTAAGAAATAAATAAGAAACAGTAAAAAATAATATTTTTATTGAAAATTCTAAGTTCAAGGGGAGATAAATCTGAAATTATTGGTGCTAGTTACAAACCTTGTCACATAAGATGTGGATGATGATAAGGTACATATATTTGAAGTTTAAAGTTGAAACCTTAAGAAATGACAAAGTTATAGTGAAAATTATTTTACTGCACCAAAACTTTAATCTGAAATCTGGACACGGATGCCGGGGCAAGTAGGACAGCTTTTCATATCCTTCGTATAGTCAGGCTAAAAACTCGAGGACATACAAATTCATACAACACTTTTATACATGTTGTAACCATACTATACATTAAATAATATAATGACTTACTGTATAGCACATTTGCACATGCTCCTTTAAAGATACAACAGGAACTGCCTCCCCACAGCCTTTGCAAAATTCTTTAATACAGTCTTCATTTGGCTAAACAAGAACATAAAATGGTAAACATACTGTTTTAAAAAAGGTGAACAATCATTTAATCATGAGATGTATAAGGACATATGACAAATTTTATACTAATATGGTTTGTTATCACTTAAGTTGAATTTACTTTATTTTTTTTTTTGTTGGTGGCCATTTTTAAAAGTGGTTCCGACAATACAAAATTTAACATTATTTCATAACCAACATATCATCATTTTGGTCAAATAATAAAAATCCCCCATATAAACCAGTTCTTGAAAGTCACAAAGTACTTCATCTTTTAAACTGTTACATGTCCATTTGTTTAAAAATGCCAGCAATCAGTTTTGTATGTTTCATCGATTATGTTAGATCTAAAATATTTGTGTATTACAGGAATATTTTGTGTATATTTAATGTAAGCAAAAACTAGAAATGTGTCCATAGGACACGGATGCCCCCACACACCACTGTTCTGTCAATCTTACGACTCTAGGTCAAATATTTTTTTGGACTACATGTGCAACAAGTTGAATCTGCCATCCGGTTTAAGAGGAGTTGTGTTCACAAAATTTCTACATAGTATATAGTGAAAAAAACAACAAAGGGCCATAATTCTGTTAAATTTGGTAGCAGCAAAAATTCCTTCCTTTACTACCATTTAGACATTAAGGTTGTTCATCCCTGGAAGTTTAAGCAAAATCTGCCATCCGGTTTAAGAGGAGTTGCGTTCACAAAATTTCTACATAGTATATAGTGAAAAAATCAACAAAGGGCCATATAATTCTGTTAAATTTGGTCGCAGCAAAAATTCCTCCCTTTACTACCATCTTCACATTAAGGTTGTTCATCCCTGTAAGTTTAAGCATAATCTGCCAAAAATATAGCTCATAATTTGAATTTTATGAGCTTTTGTTCTTTATTTAACTACGGAATGAAGCTCATAAATATCAAATGTTTGCTCAGACAGACGTCAAACGGACGGACAGACACTACGATGGACAAGTGCAGCGCTATATGCTCTCACTCTGTGGGGGCATAAAAAGGGGAAAATGTAGCAAAAATACATCAGCACTAATATTTTAGGGTTATGAGCCATGTTACTGTGATATTTCATTGTATAATAGTACAGGATTTAAACAACAACTTTAATTACCTCAACCTGTTGAACAGGATCAAGTGACAGATTACTTTGAACTGGTCTAATGTAACAAATGGCCCCTCCAAGGCCACTTTCATCACTCAAATAGTTTGATGAGTACCCTGAGGCTGGCATTAATATTTTTTCTAGCAGAAGTCTTGTTGTGGGTGCAGTTCTTAATAGCTCAAACGCTCCTCCATCTTTAAGCTTGTCATAACTCTCGTACAGAATATTTCTAAGGTATTCTGGATCCTTGTTCTTTATCATGCTAATACGTTTTTCACCAAGCCCAGCCTCTAACAGAGCCATCCTCCCAGGCTTGTCTGGCACACTGTCCTGAAATATTATAACACTCTTTTTGACTTACATGCAACACACGTTGAATATTGTAAAATTTTACTAAGTCAAGGGTTAAACCTCTTTTTGTTACCAATTAATCACAGGATTGAGTTTTGAGCAGTCTAACAACATAACTGACTGACAGGGTAAACCTAAAGTACCCTCCAGAGAAATCTATAAAGGACTAACTTATGCAGACATAACTTCACAGCTTATACAAAAACATGATTGTTTCAATGTAAAAAGTAAAATAACAATTATCACCCAAAACAATAATAATAATAATAATCATAATAATAACAAGCAATTATCATAGTATTGCAAGCAATCCATAAGTCCCCTACCGGTTAAAACCCCAGCAACATTCTGATGGGCCATTGGCCATTCAATTTTACCAGTGGATGAATGACATGAATGAACTTAAATCTTTTGAGTTCTAAGTTTGTCTATATCACAGTAATGTGTTAAGTTTCCCTGCCTAGTAAAGTAATTATGTTTATACAACCTTGTCATATTATTATGAAGTGGGATTTTAAAGTAAATCCTATAAGGAATGAAGAAGTTAGAGTGAAAAGTACCAATTTTTTGAAAAAGATCTAAGTTCAAGGGGGAGATAATTCTGGAAATAGTCTTGCTAGAATATTTAACCTTCTCAAAAAAGTTGAGTGATAATAAGAAACAGATATATGAAGTTTGAAGTAGATACATTAGGAAATAAAGAAGTTATTTAAAAAAGACAATTTTTTTTTTCATAAAAATTCTAAGTTCAAGGGAGGTAATACTGATAAGTATTGTGCTAGAGTTGTTAACCTTGTCACATATGATGTGGTTGATGGCCAGAAATAAAGAACTTATAGTGAAAGAGCTGAAAAGAACTTATAGTGAAAGAGCTGAAAAATTTAAATCAGAAATCTTGAAATTCAGGCTATTTGTTGTCATAGCAACAAGAATTTTCAACATAGGAAGAAAAGAAAAAGATGTGCATAATTTCCACACTGCCATCTACCCATATTTCAAGTTTCATAAAAATATTTTCAGTACTTTTTGAGTTATCACTGGATCCAGTTTATGTGTTAAATTTGCCATATTTTCAGACTATTTGTTGCCATAGCAACCAGAATTTTCAATAAAGGAAGAAAAAAAAAGACGTGCATAATGTCCATACTGCCATCTATCCATATATCAAGTCTCATAAAAATATTTTAAGTACTTTTTGCGTTATCGTGGGATCCAGTTTTGTGGACGTACGGACTGACAGACAGATGGACAGACAGACGGACAGACAGACGGAGGGTAAACCTAAAGTCCCCTCCGGTTAAACTGGTAGGGGACTAATAATAATAATAATACAATACAATACAATTATAATTCAACTTATTAATGCTTTTAATATTATTTTCATAGTAAATGTGCGATATTTTATAAGCACAGCATATCATATGCATGTACATTTATTCAGAGGTTTTTTTTTTACATTATTACTAAACCAAGTTAAATTCATAATTAAAATA